TATATATATATATATATATATATATATATATATATATATAGGCTCAAAGGTGCGGAAGTTTATTTTCCCTTTGAAAGCTTTCGCAACATTTCAATCTTCCTTCTACTGTCTTATCTAAATGAACAGCAGAAAAACAGCAATTAAAACCGCTGCACAAAGATTTATGATTGTAAAAACTGAAACTGATCGCGGAAGTTAATGAAACACTGGAAGATTACTGAAATTAGAGATCTTTCAGGATCCTACGGAGCAGAGTAATAATNAATTTCATATCGCATGTACGATATACTGTATAGTTTAACAGTATAATTCACTGATCGCATGTACACGGTACAAATTTTTTTATTCGCATCTGTCAGCCCATTCCGTCCCCCGGAAAATTGATCGAAAACAATGAGTCATTCTGCCTTGCGATGTGCATCCGGACGAAAACTTCACTTAGACTCGGTCATAGCCGACCCGGGACAGAACGATTTTACTTTTGTCATTATGGCCGATCCGCAACTGGGCCTGCTAGAAAGATATGTGGAAAAGCGCACAGAACCGTATCATTGGGATCGTGATTTGCACTGTGTGGACCGTGCCGTAGCCTTGATCAATCAAATCCAACCCAGACCGATATTTGTGCTCGGTTGCGGTGATCTTGTCGACAGTCAACCAGGACACAAATATCGTGCCTGTCAAACTGGAGATCTGTTGGGCTCACTTTCCCTACTGGATTCTTCCATACCGTTTATCAGTTTGCCGGGAAATCACGATGTTGGGGATTCGCCGAACCCTTCAGACCTGGCCGATTATCGTGACACTTGGGGTGATGATTACTACACGTTTGAAACAAATGGAGTGGAATTTCTAGTGTTAAATTCTCAACTTATGTGGAACGATTCAAAATGTAAAGAAGAAAGTAGAGAATTTCAAAGTTGGTTCAATTCAGAGACTGCCCGAATAAAAACGAACACAAACCAAGTAAAAATAGCTTTTCAAGTAAGTCTGCGCGCATACTCTATTGGCCAAATAACCTCCCTACGCTCCCTAAACTTTAATGGTAACATAGCATTTAGTCGTCATGTTTTCTATCGACCGTCTGCTAACTTGCTGCGATTCTCCCTCAATCTGATCAAAAGCGTGCACTTCCATGCATACGCCTGCTTGGGCAAAACAATATGGATAATCTGAAGATTGTGCCGAGCGTTAAAGTTTGATAGAAAGCATCATCATCGTACATGGATTATGGAATTATAACAATTAAAAGTAATGCTTAAATAACTTTACTGTCCATGTTGACTCGTAGCAGCAACAGCATTGGTTGAGAAAATCACCGTACCCTCAGTGGTCACATAATCTTCATTCGTTTAAACATCACTTAGTTTTTGCTTGAGGCTTCACTAGGCTGCCCTCTTGCGAAGGAGCATCACTCCAGCAGACCGACAGACAAAACCAGACAAGGGTAAGCGGATTCACATGCAGTTCAGTCATACACAGTCGCTTTCGTGCATACGGATAACATCAAACCGACAGAATAAATGACGTCGTGATTAAGCGCCACTGGGGAATAAAGTCTTAGGTTCAGCCCGTAGATTTTCTGATGCTGCTGCTGGTGGTGGTGGTGGTGGTTGATCGGTCACAGTTGTTTGTTCGAAAGCTAACGTTGCATTCCCTGTTTATGTTCAGGTGATTTTACCCGTACTCTACACCCGCAGGAATTCGTTGATACTTCAAGGCGGCTCATTCACACGTAAAAACGATCAAAGTGTTTCTGATTGATAAATTGGAAAAGCCGTCATTCCACTGAGCTATACTGTGGGTTATACCTGAACTAGGTACTTGCTCGATTACGTCGTAGCTTATTGGCTTGACATTATTACTATTATTATCATTATTGTTTATTGCACACTTATATGATGAAAGACATACGCGGTAAGCCCCATAGTCTCGAAGACCTACGGTTCAGTGATCGAAACCGGTAACCTAAGCCCCGGGATTTGTAGTGGCGAACCGCATAAAGTCCCGCTTGGTTAGGCCTGGTATTGAACCAGACGACAGCAAAGCTACCACCCAAGTTGTGTGGCGGCGGCGGCAGACCTCAAACCTCGGACCATATTTTCCGAGGTACACCGGTGATAGCGATTAAACCACTGCGTCAAGATTATCGTGGACAGTTATGAGAAAAATAGTTTTGTGTGCTCTCAACTCGCTGTTTACGTACATAGATTTGTAGGTACATAAGGTGGGATGTTACAATATAACAGACAATATCAATTATCGTATATATTTTCCTTTTTCCTTTTATTCAACTGAACGATAAAAAATCGCTTCGTACTGTTAATTACCCTAGAGTATTAATCATATTCCATCCATACTCCCCCTTTTTTTTACAGCACATTCCGTATTTTATTGAACAACCGGACGAACCCGATGACTATTTCAACATTCCTCTCAAAATGCGTGCCACATATTTACGCAATTTGTACGAGGCGGGTGTGCGTCACGTGTTTACCGGGCATTTGCATCGAAATGTCTGTCGCACATGGTCTCCATCCGGTTCCGACTCGACCGCGGACCCGTTACATCTGATTTCCACCTCATCCGTTTCCGTGCAACTTGGTCCCGATCAAGCGGGTCTACGATTTGTACAAATTTGCCCCAACCCGCCTCGGATTCGGCATGCGTACTACAGCCTTGATCAGTTAGAAACAATGTTACACAAAGCGATGCAACCACATTTTCCTTCCTAATCATCGGCTTGTGGTTCGCCCCCCCCCTCCCAAAGCGCTTAATTGCTGGTCCACTGATCAAAAATGGGAGCCCGATGACCAAAGGACGAAACTACGAAGGAAGGGTGTGTGTGGCTGAAGTACATAAATGCTATTCTACTCCCGTTCCGTGTTTGATTGCAACTCTGATTCTGCATTTTTGATTTCTCATTGCTTCATTTCTTAGTGTGTATCTTGTGGGAAGAGATCAATAAAATGTACAAATTTTCTTCTCTTCTGCGCAAAAACAAAACACATCTTTACTGAATGATGATGCGTGATGTGAAGAGTCGAGCATATTCTGCAGCAGTTCATCCAGTCCTACTCTACAGTGCAGAGACTTGGCCACTACGGGAATAGGATAAAATAGATTGTCGGTGTTCGAATACCGCTGTCTGCGTCGCATTGCACGAGTCTGGTGGGGTAACCGGACGAGCAATGATGAGGTCAGGCGTAAAGTTTTAGGCAGTCGCAGTCGTCCACTGGAGCAAGTGATTGACCTCCATAGGTTGC